TTAGAATGAACAAAGTCAAAAGCACTCCAATTCCTTTCACATCCAGTTGCACTTGTGCATTGGCTAAGCACTCGAATTGCAAACTTTTGCAATTCTGGTGTATCCGTTCCAAATTGATCCCACCATGCAACTATAAAAATAATAAAATACAATGTGCATTAAAATAAATAAAGTAAATTTTTTTTAAATAAACTGAAAAGAAAGCTAAGATGAAAGAAAATTACCTGGATTTAACTTTTCCCTTTGACGAATAGCCAAACTCATGCCAAAGGTTCCCGTAGCTTTCTTATACTCCTCAAGTTGTGAACTAATGAGATCTTGCTTCTCCTCATCCGGTATCAATGTTGTTAAGGTATTAAGCAAACCTCTTGTAACAGCAGTTTGTTTGTTAAAACCAGGCCTAAAGTAGATACCTGGATTAAGAAAGCATCCAGCTGAATGTAATGGGCTATAAAGTTGCTTATCCCATCTAGCATCAATCACCTTAATGTAAGGCATGTATTGAGACAACCTATTATTAAAATTCTTTTTTATTGTCTCCTTTGCCTTATCTATTGCCTCATACAAGTAACCCATACTTGGCTTCTCTTCATTGTCCACAAGTCGAAGCACTATCACCAAAGGCTCACTGATTTTGACAATCAATATGCAATTAGACCAAAATTCTCTATCTTCCAAGACAATTTCACATACTTCTTTCCCAACACTACTTCTTGCATACCTAGAACCAACCCATGCATCACTTGTAAACATTTGCCTAAGCTCCTTCTTGAATTTCAATAAACATTGGATGCTCAAAAAATGGGTAGCAAATCTTGTAACAGCAGGACGACACAAATCTCTCCCATTTGTGTAGTCCCTCCTCATCAATGCTAGCACCCATGAATGATTATATATAACTTTGTGATTTTTCTTGCCTTTCCTATAGTAGTATCAACTATAGGAAAGTATCTTGCATCAGAAAAATTTTCTAACATCAAGTCAATACAATGGGCAGCACAAGGAGACCAAAAAAATGTGTTGTACTTTGCTTCCAACCTTTTCCCAGCAGCTTTGAATGAAGCATCATTGTCTGTTATAAATTGTACCACATTTTCCACTCCCACTTCTTTCACCACTTCATCAAACATCCTTTCCAATGTATCAACATCTTTTGTCAAACCAGAAGTGTCAACAGACTTCAAAAACATGCTTCCTCTAGGACAATAAACAAGGAAATTAATTATTGGTTGCTACCTTTGATTTGTCCATCCATCTGCCATAATTGAACAACCATTGGTACTCCATATTGACTTCAAAGATAAGAGCCATTCATTAACTTCCTTTACTGCACATTTTAAGAGAGAACCTCTCAAATCATGGTAACTCGGTCCCTTGAAACCAGGTCCCATAGATGTGACAGCATCCCACATTGGCAAGTAGTATTTTGACCGTGTAGCATGGAAAGGCACATTAGCATCATACCACCATCTAGCAATAGCCATCCTAGCAGCTTCTTGTTTTTCTCTTGATTGCAAAGCATTTTTTATGGTTTTCTGGGCTCCATGAGTTGTCCTTGGTACGAAATATGAATTAATATTTTTTTTCTGTTGTGCTACATGTGATTGAGATCGATGGCTTTCTTCAATTTCATCATCTTCATCAACAAATATTTGTGAATCACATTGACTCCCAACCATATCCCCAAGTCTCTGTCTCTTTTCTTTCCCTTTCCTTATCTCACTTAACAACTGTTGCATTTGCCACTTCACATCTGCTGAAACTTTTTTGCAAGCACCGACATTGCCTTTGATCCCGGCAAGATGCTCTTTCAATCTAGTAATTCCACCCCCTAGTATAAGCTTATCACAATATAACCATTTAGTCTGATTCCTTCTACCTGGGACAATCAAACAATGAGCCCAAGTAGGATCATCTGTTTTAGAAGGAGTGGATCCAATAGAGTCTCCTATGCCATTGCCAGAACCACTAGTATTCATGATATCCTACAAATAGAAAAATAACAACTGTTTCATAAATTGCAGCAATCAACCACACCATGTGAGCCTAATGATTTAACAAACTAACAATTGCACAATTTCACAGATTTATTATGGGAGCAACTTGACAAAGCAATACTGTTTTTATTCACACCAAATTGCAAATCAATCGCACCAAAATTCAAAAGGAAAGATATTCACTATTTCAATTAGTAATGAAATTAACAAAGAAAAATAAAAAT